CTGTTGTGCATAGGGTCGCTATGAGTCGGAAACGACTTGACGGCACATAACAACAACAACAACATGTCACCAGTATTTCACATACAAGCAGGGTAATTGAAATGCTGAGCAGGTTTCAATGGAGTTTATAGACCAAGACAGACTGAGAAGATTGCCCATCCCCTTCTTAAATAACAGGCTTAGAAAAAAAAAATCTATATATTAACATAGCAAATTAGACTCTCATTTAACAATTTTTATAGACATTTTTTTCCATAACATTGGTAAAACTTTTTATAAGGTTTCAATATTGTAATTTTCATTCTGTTCATTCTGTTTCTGTTCCTTTAGCTTCCCTTCACCTTTTTTGCCTTCTCATTTTTGTTGTAAGTAAATATTGGCCATTTGGTTTCCTATAGTTGATTGATGACACTTTCCCCCCCTATATCTTGTCCATTTTCTATTGAGAGACTTACTTCCCCCCTTTCTTATTTGTAAAAATGATTTATATATTAATATTTTTGTCATGTATGTTACATATACTTCTCCCTCTTCTACCATTTTGTTTTGTTTGTTTGTTTTTTAGCTGTGTTGGTATAGTCAGTAGGGAAGTCAGCTGTCCTCCCAAAAGCATTGCCTCTTCTGATGGTTCAAATCCACCTAGACATGCTGAGGGAGAAAAAGAAGCAATCTCTTTTCATGCACCTTACAACCAAGGAAAACCCACGAGAGGGTCAGCTCTGAGTCAGTTCTGACTCCAACAGCAATGAGCTTGAATTTAATTTTGTTTATGACCCTATTTTCTGTACAAATGTTTCACACTTTCATGCAATCAAATCTTCCAGTCTTTTCTTCCTTTTGTGAACATTTATATCTTGGCTTGTGATTTTGTGTTCTGCAGCTGGCATGCTGGGGCAATACAATGTTGGTACCTGCAACAGTTTTATCTCCAACTCCAAGATGATGGGTAAACAGAGGCACTACTTTATTGCTGCTGAAAAAATTCTTTGGGATTATGGTCCTCAGGGCTACAACAAATTCAATGGTCTGCCCCTAAATGCTTCTGGCAGGTAAGTAGTCTTCTGAGGGCTGGGGTATCCAACCTGTCTGTCAGAGAGGCATCTGGTAGCCTTTTCTTTGTGGTCTCCTTTGTATTCCAGCTCTGAAGAGCACACACTGCATGGGTTGCATGTTAACATCACTCAGGTACCTTCTAGCCCTGTAATACAAGTACCGCTAAGAGCTGTTGCTTCAGGACTTGCTGACTAAATAAATTCGTTTATCCACTAATCATTGTTTGGAAATCTACAATATGCACAAGGCAATGTTAAATACCATGAGAATAGGATCAAGTCTTTGTATTTATGGAGTAGACAGTCTGGAAGAGGGATTAAGACAGAACTCCATTCAGTGGAGATTAATTAGTCAAGGAAGGCTAACCTATTTTTAGTAGTTGTTCAAGGGCATCCTGATGTAAGTTATGCCCACTCTACTTAAAATGTTGGTTTTCTCCCTGTACAGTAAAGTATCATTTATCATTTTAATCCTAATCCCACTGTTACCTCTTCAGTGAAGCCTCTAACTAACACACACACCCAAAGACCAACACACACACACACACACACACATCCCCTCATTTCTCACCTTGCTGTCCTCTTGATTCTGACTCATAGTGTCAGGACAGACTCGATGGCACCAGGTTTGGTTTCTGCTTCCTCATAACTAATCATTTTCTCTCTCTGCTCCCATGACCCTTAGTGTTTGTCAAATAGAGTCTAACAATTTGTTTAGTGGATGTGGACAAATATGACTTGCAATTAGGAATCATGGGCAGTAGTGTCTGTGAAAGCTTTATTTAGTGAATGAAATAGAGATGAGGGCCTTTCGTGAGTATGCAAAGACCTGAGTCAGGTGCTATGTATTTCTGCAGTGATTCTGAGCCTTACTTCACACAAGGGGACAACAGAATTGGAGGAAAGTACTGGAAGGCTCAATATATTGAGTATACTGACGGAAGTTTTACACGACGAAAGAGACTCTCAAAGGCGGAAGACCATCTCGGAATTCTTGGTACAATAAATCGCTTCTCATGTTTTGAATCAGGGGAGCAATTTTAAGAGGGTATATACAATCACATAGACTGAATTTCTTCTACCGCACTTGCTTATTATTGCTTTTTATGTCTTTCCATCCTTTTCCATATCTTTTAGGCCCAGTCATCAAGGCAGAAGTGGGTGATACCGTGTTAGTGACCTTTTCCAACAAAGCAGACAAGGTCTACAGCATTTTGCCTCATGGTGTACTCTATGACAAGGGATCAGATGCAGCCCCAAACATAGACGGTAAGCCTTAACCTAAGCATGGGAAGGAAACAAATTATAGAAGGGTGTGCAGAGGACTTAGACCTGATCAAATGTGGATAATAATAACCAGCTCATAGGACTTTAAAGAAAGATGGAGAGAATTCAGAACAGGTTTGGTCCACAGGAGTTTCTTGTTGTTGTCGTTGTTGTTATGTGCCATCAAGTCAGCTCTGACTTATAGCAACCATGTGTGCAACAGCTCTGAATCCTACCCTATTCTGAGCCAATTTTATCGTTTCTAACGTGCCTACCCCATCACTCCAGTCACTGAATCAATCCATCTCATCCAGGGCCTTCCTCTCTTATGCTGTCCCCTCCACACTTCAAAGCATGATGTCCCTCTCCAAGGACTAGTCTCTCCTTGCAACATGCCCAAAATATGTCAGACAAAGCTTCAGAATCCTCCCAACATACCCAAATCGACTATGACTGATGTAACCCTCTCAAGAACAGAAGAACAGGTCTGGACCTTGCCCTCTCCTGCACCATCCTCACAATCTCTGCTATGCTCAAGCCCATTGTCATGGTCATGGGTCAATTCATCTCTTTAAGGATCTTCCTCTCTTTCTCTGACCCTCTGTCTTTCTCACTCTTTGTCCAAGCACTGGTTCCTCCTAACAACATGTTCCCAGTGTGTGAGATGAAGTTTTGGTTCACTACCCTTGCCTCTAAGGAGCACCCTCATTGCACATCTCCCAAAACAAGAGTTCATCAGGAGATATTAAATCCTTTTCCTTTCCCTCACCAACTTGGTAACTCTTCAAGTGAGTTACTTTTACTTCTCTAAGATTAAAAAAAAGTTTACCAAAGTTTGACTGAGACTTTGTGGGTGAAGTCCAAGGAGCAATCTGACTGCCAATGTTTTGTGGACATCAACAATTTAGATATGGTCTTTGTTCTATATTTATCAACAAATGTTTAGTCAGAACAAATATTATATGGCTATCATCCCATAGCGGGGTCCTCATGATGCAGTGGACTAAGTGTTGGTCTGCTTACTGAGAGGCTGACTGAATCCGCTAGCCTCTCCGCAGCAGGAAGACAAGTCCGTCTGTTTCACAGAGATTGACGGCTTTGGAAATCAGCTTGATGACAGTGAGCTTGGCTTTGGTGTCATCGTGTATGGCTTCTCGCCACGGAGCAGTTAGTGCAAACTGCATATAGAAAAGGCAGCCTCAGAGAGGCCGCACAGGGCCATGGGAGGAGGCCGGCGGACCCCCAACCTCACTCGGAATACCATGACACCAGCCAGCCAGCCAGCAGTGGAATTTTCCAGGTTTGCCCTTAGATGTTTCAAGATATCCAGGTCTCAGAATACATGCTGGGAAAATTCTATTTTGAAATGAATCCTGTATGCCACCTCTAGATTACAAAGAAAGGGGGGGGGAGAAAGAAGGCCACAGTGGTTCAGCACATCAAAGGAGGTGAGTGAGGCTTCTTGCGAGAATCCAAGCAAAGGAAGATAATTTAGATAATAGACTCCAGTTATAAGCTCTCCAGAAAATGAAAACAACTCATGAATAGAGCTTAATAGCTCCTTTTCTAAAGCTCACACCTGGACACTCCCACCTAAAGGACTGAATATGCATGCGCTCCTTCCCAGGGTCTCAACCTAGCCCAAAAATATCCCCTCAGACAATCTTTCCTTGCAGAAGCAGATTTGGAAAGCTCAGACTCCATGTCTCCTGTGTGCTAACGTGTATAATAAAAGTACTTTTCACACTCAAAAAAAAAAAAAAAGAAAAAGCAGCCTCAGCCATGTGACTTCAGGAGCTAGCCTTCCATTCATGGTCCTGCTCCTGGTCCTTTTAGTACCATTTATGTCACTGCAACAGGCCTCCTGGCAAAGTGCTTTCTTAACACCCAACTATGCACTCAAGTCCAGTGGAAAGTGGACTGTATGGTGATAATGAGGGGGCAAAGAAGGAAAGAATGGAGGAAGAATTCCCTTTCCTCAGACCCCTACTGCAGCAGCATTCCCTGCATCTGCTCTCTTTCATTTTACAGGGCAGAATGCTTTGAACACACCTCTCTCTCTCTGTACCGAGCACGAGCAACATCCAAAATGTTTGCATATGTTACTTTTTTTTCCCTAACTCAACACATTTTTGCAAAACACTAAATAAAAAGTAGAGACAATCACTGACTTCCATGTCAAGGGAGAGATTCCGTGCACTCATGTGACAATAAGGGAGCTCTCGTGGCCAAGTGATAAGGAATTGCACTGCCAACCCAAAGGCATGTGGTTTGATTTCACCTCTTCCCCATAATTTAAAGCCTCTGAAGACCTGCTGGAGGGTCAATTACGAGTTGATTCCAACTCAATGGCCTGTAACCATATTCAGCAATATAGTGTAGAGTTACACGCAGATTTTGTAATCAGACCTCAGTTTGCATCCTGGATAGTTATTTGCTGCGTTTTGGTCTTGGTCATTCATTTACCTTTTCAATTTTGTGGTTCTTCTGGTTGTTTCCTCATTCACTCTCTTAGATTACAAACTCTGTAAAGATAGGGTTCTTGCTGAACTTTTTCAGGAATTCTCAATGGGGCTAAGTAAAGCATACTCTACATAAAAGACACTCAGGACCTCCTTATGGATTTACCTTTAACTATCGATTCAGCAATATCTTTTAATATTTGGCAAGCCTGGTATTTGAGCAAGAAGTAATAATGCAATCTATGAAGAAGCTAATCCTTTGATTTAAGCTTCTGTCTTAAAGCCCTAGGCTGTGGCAGTAACCTCTTCTAATAGGGGTACTTAAGAGAGAACAACTGCTCATATGCAAAATATATCATCAGAGAGAGAAACCCAGGGTGGGTGGCCCAGTCTGATGAGTTCGATAATCTTAGATGCTGCTTTGACTAATCCCTTCCTTTGCCTCCTCAGGGTTTCTGAAACCAGGGGCACATGTGAAGCCTGGGGAAACCTTCACATACAGGTGGACCGTCCCTGAAAGTGTCAGCCCAACAGCTGGTGACCCACCCTGCCTGACTTATATTTACTTCTCAGCAGTCCAAACAATCAAGGACACCAGTGCTGGCCTCGTGGGGCCTTTGTTGATTTGTAAAAGGGGTGTTCTCAATGCTGATGGCACACAGGTAGGACAGCAAATGTCACCGACTTCTTAAGGTTGGCTGTGGGATATAGCTTGCAATGGGGTCATGAAAAAGAGTTACAAATATGTATTTCTCCTCTTTTCCCTTGCAATGCATTTCCACAGAATGATGGTAGTTGTGATTTTAAGATATCGGTCACTTCAGAATGCAGTGGTTCTGGTTACCAAAGGGATTCCATGAGCCTCATTTTAGGGCATGACTTTCATTCTGGAATCTTCACAGATCCCTGTGAAATGCTTTTATCTTAGAGTTTTTCAAAGTTAGCTGCACATTATACAGGCTGGGAACTTATTCCATGAAGGAATAACTCGGACACCCCAGGTGGTTCTAAGGTGAAGACAAGGTTGAGAACACCACATCTCACTCAGGATTGTTGGAAGCTGGAAGTTAATCACCTAGCTGAAGGCATAAGATCATGTAGATCATTTCTCAAAGCCCTATTTGGAAGTTTCAATAATTGCACTGATTAGGAAAGAAAATCCAATTATTTAACTATCTGGACCACAGCAACCATCAATAGCAAGAAAATGTATTTAAGAGGTGGTTTTTATAGTGTTTGATGCTTCCACTTCTTGTTTCAGAGGCATTTCTAGATTTGTTGTGTGTTTTTGTGTACCATAGAGTCAGAACTGACCCATAACTGACCCTCTGGTGAATTTTCAGAGGCAGTTAATTGCTTAGAAGGAGGTTGCCCATTCTTCTTCCATGGAGCAGCTGGTGGCCTCTAATCACATGCCCTCAAAATTGTAGTGCTGTTTCTTGCCACTAGCTCTTATAATTTCTAGATTTAGAGGACATAAAGTGTCTTGGTCTACCCCAGATTTTCATGTCCCTACACAAATAACCACCCTGAAAATGTCTACTGAAGGTGTGTTCTTGGCCCATAGTCTCTACATGTGTAATAGGAGTCAATGTTATGTTGTACCTTACAACACAACAGTCACATGAGGCAAAGCAAAATTTTTGCTCTTACTTTAAAGCTGTAGAGACTAGAACACCAAGCTGTTGTGTGTATCCCTGTACTCTAGTTAGCCCTGGAAATCTGAACATAAGACATTGAAACTCCAACTTTGTCCTTTTCCCAACACCTTATCTTGCTTCTTATAATAAATACCTAAGTCAAAGAGATTGAAAACTGGAAAACTTTTGCAAGGAGTGTATTTCGTCCCTGTTGCATTCATTTAATGATAACCTTGAGGTTTGCTGGAAGCACCTTCTAGTCTGTAAACATTGTCTGAGCCAACACTGCTAAGGATCCAGCTACTTAAGCAAAATTAATGAAAAAGTAACAATAATGTGAGACACTCATACTTCTGGTATGAAGAAAATCCACTTGGCCAGAAGGAAAGTCACTTTCCATGCAAGAAATTCTATATTCAGGTCCTTAACAGGGAAGAATATGGCCAGATCTCTTCTACGCAGGTGGAAAGATGCACACGTAGAAAAGATTTACATCTCTTTCAAGGTAATTATAAACTCTTCCCAGTGGTTAGATATGTGTCATTGAGTATGAGCAAACAGTATAAAGCATTTTATAATGTACATAACTTACCACAATAGGCATTCAATCAAATCCGTGGCTTTTATTCTTTGTCATCAGTCAATCCATTTATCCATTCATTCACCTACCTACCCACTCATCATTAATCTTAAACTCCTCATTTTCAAATAATTTCACACTTAGTTATAAGGTATAAAAACAAGAAACAAGTAAACAAAAAGTTACAAAGAATTCCTGGTATTCCTATATTCTTAACCCAATTGAAAAACCAAATCCACCACTCTTCAGTTGATTCTGACACACAGCAAACCTACAGGGCTAAGAAGAGTTGTCCCATGGTGTTTCCAATCTTTTGCCCACAGAGAAAGGCTGGTGGATGCAAACTGCATATTTTTTTTTGTTAGTAGCTCAGTACTTTAACCATGGCACCCCCAGGGCCCATCACTCTTTGCCCAATATAAACATTTATCCTCATGTGCTTTGTTGATCTCTCCTTTTCTATGTTTATTTTTCCTGCACAGCTTGTCAGTACATTGCAGGCATGATGATGTGCCTTTGGTGTGTGTTTCCTGAAAACAAGGATACCTTCTGATGTCAACATAATTTAATTATAAAAAGAAATTAACCTGATACCAGGTGGTGGTTGTTGTTAGTAGCTATCAAGTTGACTACAACTCATAGTGACCCAATGAACCCTGCCCAATCCTGTGCCCTCCTCACCATCCCTGATACACTCAATCCCATTGCTTCAGCCACTGTGTCAATCTATCTCATTGAGGGACTTCCTCTCTTTCTCTGACCCTCTACCTTTCCAAGCATTATGTCTTTTTCCAAGGAACGGCCCCGCCTGACAACATGTCCAAAGTATGGGAGGTGAAATTTAATCATTTTTCCCTCTAAGGAGCACCTTGGTTGCACTTTCTCCAAGATATATTTGTTTGTCCTTTTAGCAGTCCTTGAGATATTCTGTACTCTTCCTGATATCATGTTGTTGTTGTTGTGTGCTGATGAGTTGGAACCAACTCATAGCTGACCCTCCAGAGAGTTTTCAGAGGCAATAAACCTCACAAGAGGAGATTGCCCATTCTTATCCTGCTGAGCAACTCATGGAGTCAAACTGTGTGGTTTGGGATTGCAGTGCATCTTCTTACCATGTAGTTGCTGTGTGCTGCTGAGTCACTTGCAACTCATAGCAACCCTATGTACAATAGCTCTGAACTCTGCTCTATCGTCAGTCAATTTCATTGTCTCTTTCACACCCAGTACCCCAGTCACTGAGTCAATCCATCTCATCCAGGGTCTTCCCCTCTTGTACATCCCTCCACCCTTCCAAGCATGTCCCTCTCCACGAACTGGTCCCTCCTGGCAAACATGCCCAAAGTGTGTCAGATGGAGATTCAAAATCTTTGCCTCCAAGGATCAGCCTGATTTCACCCTCTCCAGGATAGACCTATTTGTTCCCTTAGCAGTTGGTTTGTATATTAAATACTCTTTTTTAGCACCACAACCCAAAGGCATTGATTCTTCTTCTATCATCCTTAGTCATTGCCCAGCTCTCTGGTACTATTATCTAATTTACAAAGTTTTCAAATTTTGGAGAATTGTCTCCTTAAAGTCTTTATGACAACAGTAAAGTGTTGTCATATTCCTCACCTAGGCTCTACTCTAGGATGACACATTGCATCTAATTGCCTCTTCCTCATGTCTTGCCCCTTTTTGGCTCCTCTCCTCTCACCCTCGGCACAGAGGAACCAGCATCGGATTTTTTAAATTATTATTATTTTTAATGTAAAGAAGATGAAGTCACTTCATTGTTTTAAACTCTCTAGTGTTTTCTTTTCACACTCAGAGTGAAATCTACACTTCTTACCCTACTTGATACCAACTCCCAACATATCACTTCTGGCCCACTTATATTCCATCCACAATAACTCTTCTACTCATTGAACAAGCCAAGCTTACGCTGGCTTAGGACCCCTGTATCAGGACTCCCTCTTCCCAGAAAGCACTTCCTCTTGATCTTTTCCTCCAGCGAGAAGCATCAACTGATCATCTAGAAACCTGGACTTCAATCCATTTCATTTGCTTTGGCCTGATGCACCCTGATACATGGACTTAGAAACCAAGTTTTAATAAGATTTCAATTTCGTTCTTATAGACCTTCAGGTGATTTTCAGAAGTACATAGATAAATAAATATATACAGGTATGTTGTTGTTGTTGTTGTTAATTGCCAGTGAGTCACATACAACTCATAGCAACCCTATGAACGACAGATCTGAACCCTGTCCTATCCTGCACCATCCTTAGCATCCCTGATACACTCGAGCCTGTTATTGCAGTCATTGTATCAATCTGTCTCACTTAGAGTCTTCCTCTTTTTTGTCAGCCTTCCACCTTTCCAAGCCTGATGTCCCTCTCCAAGGAAAAGCCTCTTTTAATAACATGCACAAAATACATGAGACAAAGCTCCCCCATCCCTGCCTTTAAGGAGCACTCTGATTGTACTTTCTCCAAGACATGTATGTTTGTTCTTTTGACAGTCCAGGGGATATTTAGTATTCTTCTCCAAAGCCACAACTCAAAGGCACTGATTCTTCTTTTGTCATCCTTACTCATTATCTAACGTAGGAGGTGACTGGAAAAACCATAGCTTGAATGAGGCACACCTTAATCTTTAAACTGGCATCATTGCTCTTCAGGATTTTGATAGGTCCTTGACAGCAGACTTTTCCCAGTGCTATATGCTCCCTGATAATAAGGTTGTTGATTGTGGGCCCAGAAATTGATAGGTTACCAAATGACATGTTTCAACTAACAGATGCAGCTTTGAAAATGCTCACCAGTTTATGCCAGGAAATTTGGAGGACAGCTGGCTGGCCAACTGGCTGAAAGAGATCCATATTTATTCCCATTCTCAAGAAAGGAGATCCAACAAAATGAGGAAATTATCAAACAATATAATTAATATAACATGTAAACAAGTTGTCAAGAAATGGTTACAACAGTGAATTGACAAAGAACTGCCAGAATTCAAGCTGGATTTAGAGAACACCATGGCACTAGGAATATCATTACTGGTATTAGAAGGATCTTGGCTGAAAGCAGAGATTACCATAAGAATGTGCCTTACTATGTAAAAACATTTGTGTGGATTATAAAAAATTATGGCTAACATTGAGAAGAGTCAGAATTTTAGAAGACTTAATTATGTTTATATGAAAACTATGCCTAGACTAAGACACTATGCTCAAAATAAGAGAGCACTACATATTTAAAATTAGGAAAGATGTGTGTCAGGGTTGCATCTTTCTCCATACATATTCAACCTGCATGCTGAGCCAATCATTTGAGATGCTAGACTTTATGAAGACAAATGTGACGTTAAGTTGGGAAGAAGATTTATCAGCAACCTGCATTAATGCAGATGACACAATCTTGCTTGCTGACAAAGAGAAGGACTTGAAACACTTGCTGTTGAA